CCCCCCGCCCCAGGGGGATATTTGAGAACTCAAAGGCACTTCAAACAGCCTCTCAGAACCTAACTTATTTCTAAGCCTCTGCAGACCTGCCCTAGGCCCATGGCTTTTAAACATTGTTGATCAGGACTCACAGTGAGACCCAATAAGCACCTACATCTATTTAAATGCGTCCCAAACTAAGCTTTCTTACATTCTGCTTACCATGGAGCCTGCACTTCAGCTTCCCTTTTTAATGGCTGGTCACCATTCCCTAACGTGATTCCACAGCCCTCTGGTTCATAAAGGGTTCAAACACTCTCCAGTGCTGGCGCTGGGGCACCGGTATCAGTGGTACAATTCTGGCTTTACGAGGGAGGTTCCCAGCCAATGCACCACGGGCTTGCAGACCAAGATGGCAGAAAGATAGGGTGATTGACCTCCAAAAGTCAGCCAATGACAGCCCTGTGGATCCCAACTGTCTGATCCACGACGGTGCGGGCGAGATAGCATTTCCTTCTGCACGAAGCAGCGCAGAGCGCCTTGATGGCTGCTGGCTACAGCTGAGCCATCAACTACTGTAAGCAGGGCCAGGAGGAGCGTTACCCTGGGCCCTGAAGCTGGGACTCAGGGGAGCAGGGTGCGGGGCTGGGGGGAGATGGGGGACCCTGCGGACGCGGGCGAGGCACTGACCCTTCCCTCTCGTTGCAGCGGAGCCCCTCCCGCTCATGGACCTGTGCCGAAGAGCCATCCGCTCCGCCCTGGGCCGCCAGCGCCTGCACGACGTCGGCTCCCTGCCCCTGCCTCAGTCTCTCAAAAACTACCTGCAGTACCAGTGAGGCGGCCGGCCTGTCAGCCCACCTTGGCACGGTGCATTCAGGCAGGGCCTTCCCCAGCAGCCCGGTGCCCCAGGCCGGTCTGTCTGTCCCCCGGGAGGCCCGGATGTGTCACCCACTTGGCAAGGCAATGTCTGCTGCCAGCGCAGTGTCTGCTGCAGTCTGAGCAGCGCTCCCAAAACACCTTCCCGGGAGCCTGGAGAGTCTGGCGCTGGCAGCCCGCACCAGCCCCGTGGAGATCCTGCTTCCTGCTCGCCGCCGTGGAGATCACCTTGGTCAACCGAACGAAGGAGACTCGCTAGGGGGCGCCCGTGGCAGACAGGGCAGGAGGGCATTGCCCTGTGAGCAGCTGGTGCCAGCGCCCCTCCAGGCGCAGCCCGTGGCTGGGCTTCGGGATCAGCATGCCATCTGAGGACTCTGAAAGACTTACCCAGGGATGCCCTGCGGCAACATTGGCAAGTGGACACGGCTGTTTAGACACCACCCGGCTTATGAATGTTGTGTACTTGTCCACTTCCACACGCCTCCTTCCCCTGCCACTACCCCCTGACCCGCAGCGCTCCGGCCCCGCCCTCTGTTCAGGGAAGAGAAGTCTGGCTAATGCACCCCAGAAATAGACCAGATCCTTTGTTATTTTCATCTGCAGGGGAGTTTCCATTTTAGAAGAGAAGTGAGGTGGAGGGTGGTACTTAGTCCAAAGGTGCTAATGAGCAGACGTGGGGTCCAGTCGCACCAAAGTTGAGTGATGTCCTTGGGCTGGGGATCGAGGGTCGCCAGTAACCTTCCATTCAGGGTACAGCCTGGCAGTCACAGCTTTATTTGAGCAGATTATTTTTTCAGGTTCAGAAACGTGTACAAGTTTTGTTCCCATTTCAAATGTGTGTGTGGTGTAAAGTTTATTTATCAGCTCACGGTGGCGACAGCGGTGGCGGCCTGGTAACTGGAAGGCAGGCGTGGGAGGCTCATTCCCGGCTCGGTTTGACATCGCGCTGCCCCAAACTATCCCTAACTGGCAACCGTCCCAAGAGTGGATGCCAGAGCCCCAGACGGTACTGCCTCCCTGACTTTAATGTGAATTTGATGAATGAAGAGCGTTTCTAATAAAGTTTGTTGTTCAATCCTTCAGCCGTTTATTCAATGCTCTTGGGGGCGAGGCTCGGGGAGCTTCTGACCCAGGACAAATGTGACCTGACCTTCAGTCACTTCTTCTCTTCTCTGTCTGCTGGCAGCCGAACCCCGGAGCACAGAATGCAAAGCTTGCTGTGGTGGTATAAAAATGGGTCAAGTGGGCACTCCGTAAGGGGACGCAGGGACCGAGGCACAGACCTGGACAACCCCCGTTTCGGTGAATCTGGAGGCAACAGTGGCTGCAGCGGTGGTAAGGGTAAGGGTGTGCTCACGAAGGAACAACCAACTCAAGGAGCCACAGGTGGGCCTTGGGAGTGGAAGTAGGAGTCAGAGTGCAGGCAGTGGGCTGGTCCAGGCCTGGCACAGTTCATTCAGGATACTGACCATCAGCATGCACTGTGCAGGCCTCCCAGAACCCAGCATTCAGGCCCATGGAGCCTGCCCCCAGCAGCGACCCCTACCAGGAAGTATACCGTGGGAAGGAGATAGGGCGGAAGGGCAGGCTTCCTGGCAGAGGAGGCTCGCTCCAGGTCTGCAATTTTAAGGAAGGGTGACAAGCCTCAGTGAGACTAGACTAGAAGAGTATCCCCTCTTCCCACCCCCAAATCTAAACCCAAACTCACTGCCAAGTCCGTTCTGACTCATGGCAAACTTTAGGATGGGTAGAACTTCCCCTGTGGGTTTCTGTGAGTTTACAGGATAGGAAGTCTCATGTTTCTCCCAAGGAACAGCTGGTGGTTTCGAACTCCCAGACTTGTGGTTAGTAGCCCAAGGAGTAAGCACTGCCCCTGTGGCGCTCCCTGGCCCCAGTGTACTCCCCCAGGGCAGTGTATTTCCTCTGCCCTGCCCTTGGGCGCTGGGCTCAACTGCAGCTTTCAATCACTGGTTGCAGGAGGCAGCTTCATCAGTATATCCTTGTAACCTTGGGTGAGTCTTTTCCCCGCTGCACACTTCAGGGGCTGTACCAGTGGCTCTGGCTGGATAGAGACCTTTCCTCTTTTGACTCATGGTGTCCAAACTCAGCTTCTGTTCTCCAGGTTGAAAGTATCATTCTCACCTAGGCTCCGCTCCTCACCAGCGATTTCCCTCACTGGGATAATGCCTGCGCCATCCTCCTGTGGCCCTCCCCAGGAAGCCTTCTCTTAAGCACTCTGCCAGCCTCGGCCTGCTCCAAGCAGCCAGCTCCTCAGCCCCCAGGCTGAAGATTCTGGTTTTATGCCCAGGAGTGCTTCCCTGCTCTGGGGGGCTCATCTATCCAGCAGCTGCTGGCCTCAGGAGGCCAGGGCCCATGGCTGCTCCTCCCACACAGCCCACTTGGACCAGGTACAGAGTTAGCCAAGCCTGCGGGCATAAAGCGCAGGCAAGAAGGCCTTTGTGCAGCTGGGACACCCCGGGAAACTTCAAGAAAAGTCCTACGTGGGTGGGGCGCAAAAAGACCCTGTTTTTGAAAATGACTGAGAAGACCTTGACCGGAGCTGAACCCTAAACAAATAAGAGAGAGAAGACATTCCACTTCTTCCGTGCGGGAGCAGTGGCGGGGGCGGGGGCGGGGTGGGGCCTTTGTGTTCAAGTGTGTCCGTGTACCTGGGCCCCTACATCAGCACGCACACCCAGCCTCTGCTCACACACACTCACTCTCCCAGGCACACATATGGGCACCTGGTGACTCCCAGCCCTGTCCATCATCGGCCCAGTCTGAGGTTTGGCCTCTCCAGGCCCCATTTCTGGCAGAGGGCACTTGCTGAAACAGCCTGCTAATTGCTTTTTGTCTGCGAACACAGCATATGGTAGGCCCGAGACACCACAGATCTGGGGGCCTGTTGACCCCCCCAGTTCACTTATTAACCCATCTAACAGTTCCACATTCTGAACTCAATCCATTCTTTCTTTCCCTTTCATTCTGTCTCTGTCACCCACGCTGGGCAGCTGGTTGCTTCTCGAGCCAGCTGTCACTAACGAGCACCAATTTCTTCATGTCACTATGTTACAGTAAAAGTGGTCGCAGGTAGCCAGTGACACAGTTCATGGCTGGTGAACTGAGCCAGGACAGCTGTCCCCAGTCACCAGGCTGCAACCTTTAGCTAAAGAGAAGGTACATCTGTTAGTTGGCAAATGGACAGGGAGCCACACTGCAGTAGTCTTCAGGCCCGAGATCAAGATCACTGCTTCCACTAGTCCTATTCCAAGTGTGTTTGGCTATATCCCACCTTAGTGTGTATGTGTGTGTGTGTGTGTGTGTGCATATGTGACCCCAACAAGGAAGAATTTAAGCAATTTAGCACAAAAAAAATCAAGTTCTTTTGAAAAAGTAGGAAAGAATGACTCACATTTCTTCATGGTGAGGCTAGCGCCCTTGAGAAGCCCCCCCCCCCAAAACACATGGTCAGAGCCTCTCCTGAGCACCTCCCCTGTGGGTGCTGATTTCCTGGCCTTGGGTCCAGTAGACTATTAATATAACTCATATCAGTGGTCATCGATAACACGCATGACCCCAGGGAGAGTTCAAGAAGGGGGCGTATGCTGGCTCTGGACTTGACGTCACAGTATCTCGGGGCCTCGGTCACTGCTGTTCAAGGAGTTCATGGCACCAGGATCTTCACACAGACACAGAGAACGTGTGTGGCCCTGGTGACCCAGTGAGTCCTGGCGGGCCAGGATGGATGGGAATGCTAAGGCCCTCTTTTGAGAGCTGGATGCTGTGATTGAGACACCAGGACTTCCCAGCCCTGGCGGCACATTAGCATCCCTTGAGAAACATTATTAAAAGTCCCAGACGGTAACCTTTCCCCAGACAGATTCCATCAGAAGCGCTCCAAGAAGGGCCTGGGTCATGGTCTAGTTTTAAAGCTCCCCCGGCGATTCTAATGTGCAGCCAGGGTTGAGAAACACCAGAGGAAGTGTTTAATTAAGGCATCGATGGAGACGTGGCTGCCGTTGGTGACAGTGCACATCCTAGATCAGGAATACCTGCCCCTCGCCCTGACTAAGTGGTAGGTAGCACCATGTGGTCCAGCCTAAAGTCAGAGTCCTTCCCACATCTACTTCCTTCCCTCCAGTGATGCTGAGCCCGTCACACTCTAGGAATGGGAAGCAAGGACCAGTCAGTTACCCTGATGCAATATAAACTCCTGGCAAACTGGCTTTCACCCACCCACTGACTCAGTGGAGCCTATTGTGTGTGGAGAATTTTCTGGAGACAACTATTCTGATGGATTAGGATTACTGTATAATAAGAAATAAAAACTAAATGGAAAATGATTTGGTCTTGAATGTACTGATTTGAATAGAAAAATGTGGCATAGTGAGATCTGACTATAAGAATGGTTTAGTTTCTAGTACTTCAAAAACTTGCAGAAACATAAAAGTAGCATAAAATGAAATCTAAACGTTATAATTTCTAGCATTAGTTGGGTCATGGTAAAGATAGTAACAAGATATATTTTACTAAATGAAATGTGTATATTTCAATTCTTTGGATAACCATTAAAAATATAAAAGAACAGAATGTAAAGTCTAAAAGTTAATGAGTCAAATACTCATGGGATTCAGACTTTCTGGAGTGCTAGAAATGGAATAAACCCAAAATTATTGCCATAAGATAAGATCTAGACCTTAGGTGAAAATTTCCCCCAGAAGTCTTCTAAACAATAGCTTAACTAATAAAAAGTGTCTGCCTTGAACAACATTCTCTATATATAACATCTATCTATATTGGATTAAACTGACAACAGTAACTCCAAAATTCAAACAGGAATCTTAGAGGGAAGTGTGTGCATAAGAAAACTTCAAAAATTTTATGGAAAAAAATTAAAAGATAATGGAGGGAAAAAGATAATGAAAGATTCCAGGAATGTTTTGAAGCCCTTGTATGTTGGGGGAGAAACAATTCATAAAAGGAGGATGAGAGCCTGTGTGATCATGAGGTGTCGATGGGATCAGGTATCAGGGATCAAAAGATCCAAAACAAACAACTATATTGAAGTGACCAAGGGGGGTTGAAGAGGAGACTCAAAGCCCATCTGTAGGCAACTGGATATCCCCCCACAGAAGGGTTATAAGGAAGGGGTGATTCAATCAAGGGGTAGTAGGGCACCAATGAATCACACATCATTCCTGTAGTTCCTGACTACTTCCTCCTCTGCCACTACCATGACCCAGTTCTACCTTACAAATCTGGCTAGACTGGAGACACACATTTGTACAGATAAGCACTCTCGATACATGGAATTCAGGACAGATAACCCCTCAGGAATAGTAGTGGAAGTAGCGCTGTCAAGAGGGTAGGGGCATGGTCAGGGAGGGAAAAGGGTGAGAAAGGGGGAACCCATCACAAGATTGACTTTATAGCCTCCCCCCTCAAGGGGATGAATAACAGAAATATGGGTGAAAAGAGACGATGGAGAGTGTAAGATATGAAATAACGATAACCATATATAATTGATCAAGAATTCACGAGGGTGGGAACATTGGGGAGGTAGGGGGGAAACGAGGATCTTATACCAAGGGCTCAAGCAGAGTATGTTTTGAAAGTGATGATGGCAACATATGTGCAAATGTGCTTGACACAATTGATGTATGGAATGGTACAAGAGCTGTAAGAGCCTCCAATAAAATGACTTAAAAAAAGGAGGGTGAGAGTGGCAGTCCAACTTGAAGAACATAATTAATGTCCCAGAAATGTACCTGTAGAAACTTCAAGTGCTGTATGTTTCCACTGCATATATTCTCAACAACGAGAACCAAAAAACCCTATATTTTAATTAATGTGATAAGAGCAAAAGCCATGAAAAAAATGTCCTGAAAGTAAGGATTAAGAAATAAGAAAATACAAAACAGATACGACGAATAGAAAATATAACGAATACAGATTTAAATTTCAAATAAAACACAAAAGTTAAAAGACTGGATTTTTAAAAAAGACAGCTATATGCTATTTATAAGACTCACATTAAAATATTAGGGATAGCATTGAAGTAAAAGAATAAAAATATTATA